ACTTCAGTATGCTACTAGAGCGTTCCAGTCCATCAAGGACGACATGCCTGACGCGGCGACGATTGCCTCTGAGCTTCAGACACTGCAAGAGTTCCTCGGAAGTGCGTCCCACCCCAAGGGCTACATCTTCAACGCCCTTCGCCACAACATCCACAACGTCAAGCGGTACAATATGTTGCACGTCACCCATCCGCATTCATCGCATGCATAGCTTTGAACACGTCATTTGCCTGCTTCTCAAGCACGTCTTGGTGCACCTCGAGAAGAAGATGCACTTGGCCGCCGACAAGTTTTGCTACCTCCGCGTGCTCCCGTACTTGCTTCTAGTGCTCGACAAGGACGGCCATGGCAAAGCCAATGCGTTCAAGGGCAACAAGGCCAAGCTCGAAGCGGTACCGACTGCGTGCACAGGTGTGTGATTGATTTGCCAGCATTAGCTCGGCAAGTTTCTTCGACGCTACCCCGTGCTGCCCGTGTACGCCGACATGACGCTGCGGCCGGCCACTTTGCTGCAGACGTCGAGCTTCGCCTTCCTCTTGCCGACATCCGAGGCAACGCCCGAGGCGTATGCGTTGGCGCCATGGCGGCAGCGGGCCAAGAAGGAGCTGGACAACTACCTCCCCCGCCTCGCCCTCGCCTTGCTGACGGTTCGTACATCCTCTGCGATGAAAATTGTTTTTCAATGGCATGCTGCAGAGTCCATCGGATGGTATCTATGAGGTCGTTCTCGAAGGCCTCCAGCTCTTGATCGAGTGGAAGAGTGCGCTCCAGCAGGGTGTCGCGTGGAAGCTGGAGCACCCGGCAGCTGCAACAGACAACCAAAGCAGCGCTTCGGCAGCCTACGAGCGCGTGACCAAGTTCAACTACTTGCCGTGCGAGCGCGACGGGCTCATTGAGCTCATTGTGAGCCTCAAGTCTCTGGGACACGCGCTGCGCCAGGTGCATGCATCGCACGGCACCGCCTTGCACGCCGTTGTCTACACGCGGCTCCAGACGTTCGCGCAGCACACGCTGCTTCCGACGCTGCACCGCGCCGACAAGAAGAAGAAACAGGCGGCCACCAAGCTCCTCCACGAGCTACGCTTGCTCGTCGGCGACTTTACGAAAACGGATCCGGACGACTACAAGCGGGGCCGAGCCGATCGCGTTCTTTGCCCACTTCGCGCGAGAGCGGTGGCCCCGACGCATGGGCAGCTCGTGCGCGCGCGCACGCTGGCCCAGGCGCTCTACGACAAGCGCGGTGGTCTCAAAAGCAGTGCGTCGTGGAGCTGGTCGAGCCACCTTGACGCCGACATGGCGGCGTTAAAGGCGTTTTACCTCGAGTCTTTCTTCTTTGCGCCCCTGTGTACGCTCGAAGCGACCGTGGCGCGCCTCTGTGGTGTCGGCGACCTTTGGTACCGCGAGTTTTACCTCGATTTGACCAAGTGCGTTCAATTCCCGACCGAGCTCTCGATGCCGTGGTACGTGTCCTCTGTCCACTCTACGTCGCTTGATGGACGCAGGATCCTGCTCGAGCACGACCTCGGCGAGCACGACGGTCGGCGCCTCGCGGCGCTCCTCGACGTGTACAACGACGCTGCGGACATTGCCTTGCGGCAGCTGCGGCAGCAACACCTCTACGACGAGGTCGAGGCCGAGACCACGCTGAGCTTTGACCAGCTCGTGTTCTTACTCGGCGCGACGACGTACGCCCGTGCGCGGCGGGGTGGCGAGAGGCAGCCCACGTCCTTGGCCCTCGTAGCGACCGAGCGCCGGCTCTCGGTGCGTCGGACGAGAGAAAAGAAGCAACGACAACAACTCACCAGGACCTGTAGCTGCTCGGACGCACGTTGGATGTGAATGCACTCATCGGCGACCACGTACAGGCGGCGCTCTTGCGCGAAATGGAGTCGGCGGTCGCTCGCCTCGAAGGCGCCGACCTCACCCACCTCGTGGCGTTTGAAACGACCATCGACGCGCTGCAGCAAACCCATATTCGGCTCTGCGCGGCGCTGCCTCTGGATCCTTTTGACGCGCTACTCCACGAGGTAAGACGACGTCTTGTCCCTTTTACAAAACAGGTGCTTAGGTGCTGGACACGCGCGTGCTGGCGTTCACGCGCAAGGAGCTCTTTGAAAACGTCCTGCCGCGCTACGGCTACGACGCCCTCGGAGCTGCGTTCCACGCCTCCGCCCACGGCAACATCGGGTGCGCGATCTCGGACGATGCAACGCAACAACAACTGAGAAGAGGAGACTAGGCGCGCGCACCTCGCTAGCCTCGTGCGCTTCATCGGCGTCGCGGACCTCTGTCGCATCGCCCACGACGCCGTGCGCGACGTCGACGCCAAGGCAACTTCCACGCAGATTGCTTGTGTGCTGAGCATGCGATTAGATCCAGGACGTCCTCCCGCTGTGCGTGCACGCCCTCGTGGCCGCCGTGCCGCCTTGCTCGCTGCCCAAGTTTCTCTACAAGACAGAAGGTCAATATATCGATGCATGCGAGTAGGCGCGTGAATGGCGCTCTAGGCTGCCTCATGTACTTTGAGGGCAAATTCCAGTCGATCCTTCAGGACGTCGACCTCAAGGGCCATCTCTTCCAGTGCTTTCGAGAGCTCGGCAACACCCTCGCGCTGCTCTCGCTCCTCGACGAGACGCTGGTATCTCGATTCGATATTGCTCCTCACGTACCGCCTCTGGACCAGGCCGATATGGGCCGTGGCGCGGCTCTGCTTCCGCGTCTCATCGAGGGCATGGCGTCGGCGCTTCGACGCTACGGCTTTCTGGCGTCCTGGGGACCGCCGACAAGCGGTGCGAGTGCGAAGACGACTACGTGTGCTGAGCGATGACGTACTAGGCGGGTATTGCCATGCGTGGGGCGCTCTCGAGTTCCTGCTGCACTACAGCAGCGATGTGGACGATGGCGTTGCACTGGCCGGCGCGACGCTCCTCGAGCTCCTCGGGCAGCGAGAGCGCTACGCGCTCTGCAGCAGCACGCAACATCTCCTCCACGTGCAAGACGCGTACAACGCTGTGACGCTCTGCAAAGACGATGGGGTCGGCCGCGCCGACGATGCGACGACGCGCCGGACGCTGGCGTTTCTCGCACAGGCC